GCATTTTCTTAGGTTTTGATTTGGGGCTGTATTCCTAGCCCCTGCCATGGTGCTTGGTTCATGTAACCACTCAGTTTGTGATTGCATCATGAAGGATGGGTATTTTGCAGACCTGTGAGTCCTTAGACAGCAGAGCCCATGACTTAGATATCTTATTTATCTTTCTCCTTCTACCGTGACTCAGCCATATCTTGCATACACCTATCACTCGAGTGTTTGTTGAATGAAATGGTGGAAGGACACTGTGGAGTACAGAATAGGAAAGGAAAGGCAGAGAAGGGGACCTGGAAGGTGGCAAGAAAACGAGTTTTCAGAAGCAAAGAAGGAATGGGAAAGGCACAATTGGATAGACGGAGGAGGAGAAGGGCTCAAATCTTGGTGAGACCCACAAAGGGAGTGGGGGTTAGGGTCTTGGATGGTGGTGGCCACAGTATGGTGACAATGTGACAAGCACTACTGTCTGTCCCAGCCGTAGGACACCAGGTAGCCAGGGATGAGGCCAATGTCTCCAGGCCTTGTGGTTTTGAAACAATATAAAAGTCAGAATCAATAGTGAAATACTTTTCTTTTTTAACTGTAGAAAATATTTCACATCAAAGAAAAAATAAACACAGCTAGATGAAGTCCTAGAATAAAAGAAATCTGCCTTTTAGGACACCCTCAATATCTACATGAGGACTTTTGGAACTTTTTCAATATGCAATATGCAAATGACATTTAAATGAGAATGGCTCCATCTTTGTAGGGAATAGAACTGGGAGAGGGGCTTAAGACTGTTCATGTTTTGTGGTACACAAACATTATTTACTTGGTTTTTGGAATCTCAAAATAAGTATTCAGGGGGGCTGAAGCAGGAAGATTGCGAGTTTGAGCCCAGCCTGCATAACTTAGCAATTTAGTGGAACTCTGTCTCTACATAAAAAATAAAAAATAAAAAATAAAAAATAAAAAATGGGCTGCAGATACAGGTCAGTACGAAAGCACAGTGTTGAATCCCCGGTCCCAAAAGCAAAGCAAAACAAAACAAGAATGAATACTTTGCTTCCTTCACTTCTCAAGCCAGCCATGGGCCAGAAAGTGACATAGCTGCTCCCTCAAGAAGCAGGGAAGGAAGCCAGGTGACAGAGCAACCAGGGAAGCTGATGATGTGAGGGACCCAGCAACTACCCGTGTGGCTTCTGGAGGCGGCAGATTCAGGGCTGTAAGAAAAGTGAGAAGGCTCAGGAGCAGGTTCAGAGTGAGCAGGGGGACGGGGACATACGGATGATAAAATCCAGGGAGTCTCTTCATTTTGTGTCTTCCCCTGCCAGGTCTCTTGATGGCTATTGGGTGCAAGAGCAGAGGTCCTCTCAGCACAAGGACAGACCCTGCTCCAAACAGTGCACTGAGGAGATCTGGGAAGGTAGGCAAGATTAAGTCCTAAAGGTTCTCACCCAGATATTTAAGATTTCCAAAAAGCCAGATGGCTTTTTAAGTTGAGAATCTCCTTTGCGATATGACTTTGGAGAACTTCCTTAGCTTCTCAAAACCTTAGTTTCTGTATCTGTAAAACGGGGACAGTAACCAAATTAAACCCACTGATGCATTGTGAGTTCAGCAGAGTATTTGTGCAGAGTGCTCTGCACAGTGCTAGACACATTGTATTTAACAAATGATGGTGAGTATTACAGAAGTTTTCAAGAGTATAGAAGGGACACTATTGATCCAAAGAGGGAAATGACTTTGTATCTTTTTCTTTTATTTCCATGATGGCTTGCACTGTGTTTTGAAATGTTGATCCCCAAAGTTAACTTGATCTTCTGTAAAGTCTTTCCCTTACCTCAACAGACGACAGGGTCAGGGACACAGGTAGCCCATCTGCATGTCATTCTTGTCTTCCCAAAGCTTTCTAGCCGCAAAGCAGTTAGCAGAGACCAAATAATCATAACATTGTTTGAGTGTTTGCAGAAGGGTGCTCTAATACATGCAGATGTGTTATCTGAGTATCTGCTACCATCCTATGGGCCAGTTATTACAGTATCCCCCACAATAAAGGAGACTCAGTGGTTTGCTCGGGCTCATGGGGTAGGTGAGTGTGAGGCCAGGGTTGAAATGTTCTCTGGTCAGTTCTATAGCCAGCATCCTTATACACTTGAAGGAAACATCAGTTAAAAAAATAAATTAATGAATTAAGAAAGGTTTGTGCTGGGAAGAGACAATTTCATTGTGTAGAAGGATGAGTAGGACTTTGCAGGTAGACAGGGGACAGAAGGACAAATGCTGTCCTGCATGAAAAAAAAATGAATAAAAATGGCACATAAGTAAATGAATGAGGGAACAAACAGAGACACATGCGTGAGCATGCGTAAGGAAAGAGACAGAGACATGCAGAGGTCTTCTCCAGCTTGTGTACCATGAACGTGAAGACCTTGGACATTTTTCTCCTGCTAAAAAGAGACACTAAAGGGTGAAGCATGGGACATGATCAGTTTAATTTTTCTACAGTCAACATTCTGCTTCAAGTAAGGATGGACTGCTGGTGAGTCAGAAGACAGCTGTGAATTTGAAAGCAAAGAGACCAGCTTGGAGACTCCTTTAATAACAGATAATGGGAAATCATGGACATGAACAAGGCACAATAGCTCTGATTTTGGAGTCCATAGCTATTTGCAGCAAGAAGTAGTTCCAGGAATACCTTGGAATGGTCCACAAGAATGATACAAAATGAGGGAAAGCAACACTTAGCTGAATGGGATAGGAGTCCCTCTCCCAAAGGCTTTGAGCCTTGGGATCTGATGCCTATTGGGCCCCACATGCCTGCCCAGGAGTTACTTTTTTATACTGAAATGGCCACATAAACACAACTGCAGGCAGGCACTAAACTCTTGGAACGTCTTTCATTTGGGAATTTAAACACAAGGAACCATTAGGTCTTGCAGTGGCTGCTGTACCAAAACATAAATCATGCCAAACTTGTTTGAAATCTCATCTTCAGAAGGTTGTGTGTTTTGACAAACTTGCATGCAATTTGGTCCAGCTTTTGGATTTGTAATGAAACCTGAAACCTAGCATGCTGGCCTGCCTTGGGGTCTACAGGCACAAGCCCCTCGCAGCCTTCCTGTAATACCTCCCCTAATCTCATCCTGGCAAGTGAAATGACTGTGCTGAGCTGTGCTGCTGGAAGTTTGGATGGACTCTGCAAACATTTCTTGCAATTAGGGAAAAAAAGACTGATCAAGACAGCAGTTTGGGGTATTTTTGTGCCTGAGTATTCTTTAGAGTGTAAACTGCAAAATTAGCAATAGTGCTGTATCCCCTATTGGCTAGTGACTTGGCGACACCCCAAGCCATGATTGGGGCAGAAAGTTAATTAATCTGCTTATTAAAAAAGAAGAAATGTCTCATTTGCATACATTTGCATTCAGGTCTTACATTCATCATGCTTTTTGGTGGTCCTTGGCTTTCTTTCCTTAATACCACTGACCTACTAGGTGTCAGCTCAGTGCATTTGAATTTTCTGTGACTTGGCTTTGTCTAAGTGTCATATGTCTAGTATCACTGTTTCCAGCAGAATTTGATTTTCTTATAGATCCCTTAATTCCACATAGAGATTTTTTTCCCCTCCTATGGGCTGTTTGTGTTTTTCTTCCAGTTAGCATATGCCATAGTTAGGAAAAGATTTATAGACTTGGTCAGTCTTGGAAAATAAAGACCTTGTCTCCATCAGAGTTGGGCATGCAATTTGGAGATGGTCTATTTAATTATGTGCAATTTTCTACTCAATTGAATTTTTCCATAGTCATTTTTTGAGAGTTTCTTCTTTCATGGCTTTTCCTATCTTTTTGGGAGGTCTGCTTTTGGATTTTTTTTTTTTTTTTTTGGCTTGCTAGGGAAAAAAAGACCATTGCCTCATGGAGGTATTTTTTGTATTCCACATTTAGAATGATTGTTCTTACCTGAAAGTATTCAGGTAATCTGAATCCAAGCCTTCTCAAACCCCCTTGAAAGGACTTCAGTGAAGACTTGGCGGGAGGAGGAGCTGGGCAGAGGGTAATTTGGAAGCCCAGGGGTGAGGTGTAAAAGAGCACAAGCTCTCAGGACAGCAACTTGTGAAAGCCAAACTCTGTGCAGGTGGGAGCCCAGAGAGATCTTAGCCTGAGAGTGCACCACCACCTCCTATCCGGAGACCCCACGTCCTCTTCTTATCCAGTCCCAATGCATTTCTGATACACTGACACACAGGGGTGGTCAGGGGTGAGTGGCTAGCCAGCAGTCAAGCCTCCTCCATGCTAACAAGCTTAAGCAGTCTGGGTGGGAAGGGTCCTGGCTGGAGGAAAAAAAAATTAAAACCCAACCTTAGACCCCTAGACCCCTTGTCAGACTCCGAGGAGAATTATATTTTTGAACTAGTCTACAGTGTGGACAGGAAATGACCTCTCCACAAACTGCTTCTTTAAAAAACAAGCGGTGGTGCCTTTAGCAATCCAGCCACTCTCTCTCTCTCTCTCTTTCTCCCTCTCTCTCCCCTCGCTCCCTCTTTTCCTCCCTACCAACCTCCCTTCCCTCCCTCTCTGAGCTCCTGCGCTCTCCCTCTCCCTCCTCTCCCGTGCTTCCTCCCTCCCTCCCTCTCTCCCTCCCTCCCTCCCTCCCTCCCTCCCTCCTCCCGCTCCGCTCGCTCCTCTCTCGCTTTAGAGGGCTCCCACAGCACTTCCCAGCCTGTGTGCTCAGCCTGCCTGCCTGCTGCCTCTGTGTGTGAGAGTGTGTGTGTATGTGTGTGAGCGTGTGTGCGTGCGTCTACTTTGTACTGTGAAGAACACAGCCCATGTGCTCTGCATGGACGTTACTGCTACTCTATTTAGCTTGATTTTCGACAAGCAGGCAAGATGTCCAGCACGCCACATGACCCCTTCTATTCTTCTCCTTTCGGCCCATTTTATAGGAGACATACACCCTACATGGTACAGCCAGAGTACCGAATCTATGAGATGAACAAGAGACTGCAGTCTCGCACAGAGGTAAGTACTTCAACCTTGACTGTGTGTTTGTGTAATTTTTTAAACTGTGCATGGGCTTTTCCTGGGGTTTTTGGCTGAATTCTGTGGGAAGTGTCCCACTAGCTACTACCACGTACGGGGAAATGAGCGCCAGGATGAATCCACTAGTTTGAACGCCCAGTTTACAGGGACAGCAACTCTTGGAGCGGGGAACAGTTTCTGCCTGCCGGAATCTTGAAATAGACAGCCCAGCACTTGATTCCCAAGCCTGGGCTTCACAAATGCTGCTCTCCCAGAAACTCTGCTGTTTTCAGGCTCTGGATGGTCCTGGTTTCCTGAGATACAATTGCAAAGGATTTTGCGGTTGTTTGCATTTGGATGGATGTAGATGAGACTGCTTTGACCTGCATTTGCTTTTCAAAGTCATCAAAATTGAGGTAAAGAGGGGCAAAGGAGTAGCCCTGCATACTTGTCAGAACTAGCCCTGAAGGGACACATGTTTGTATATTTTTTTGTTAAATTCAGAAACCAGTTGCTTGGGGCAAGAGGATTCTCTACTTTCTCTTCTCCCTGTTGGCTGTGCCCCTTAAGGTCTGTACCTCCAGAAGGGAGCTGGCTCAGCATTCCAGCCACCTTGAGTTTTTGCACATTTGTGATCTTGTGTCTTGGGGAGGGGGAGAGAGAGAGAGAGAGAGAGAGAGAGAGAGAGAGAGAGAGAGAGAGAGAGAGAAGAGAGAGCCAGCCAGCTCAGACAGCAACTCTGGGAGCAGAGAGACCAAGACTTTCAGAACTTTCTAAATGCAAAACTCCAGACTGCCTCTTGCAATTTAAATATTTAATGTCAGCTGAGTTTTCCTCTGTATGCTGGCTGGCTGGCAGGGCTGCTTCAGGTTGTCCATTTCCCTGTAACGTGGAGCTTTGTGTTGTTTTCTGAACAGGAGTTTGTTATATAGGTGCCCCAAAGACACTTTAGGAAGCCAGAGTCCCTGGAGATCCAATCTTCTCTGCAGGGCACAGATACCCAGGGAATTTCTGCCAAACAGCTTCTTGGGAATCACTTTGGAGGAATTTTAGATAGAAGATTGACTTTTAACTCTGGGAAAGGATTCGATTAAGTTTGTATTATAGCACAAAACACACTTGCTTGAATTATCAATGGAGCCACAGAGAATCCATGACATTTAATGTATTTAATATGGCTAACAAGATGTGACCTGCTTTCTGATTGGCTCACTACTGGACAAGGACTTGTGTGTTTCTGAAAGCTGTGTTGTCTTCATCACTGCTAGTTTCTTTATATGTTAATATACCATAGTTATTAAACACAGTTGCTGCTCCTGAGACTTTCTCAAGGAGTCAATAGCTTATAGGAAAGTGTAAACTCTTTTCCACTTAGGGAAGTGAGCTGTTGGTAGTAAATGATATTCCTGTGTGTTATTTGTGTGCTAGTGTGTGTGTGTGTGTGTGTGTGTGTGTGTGTGTGTGCCTGTTACAGTGTGCAGTGTCTTTCACTCACATCTTCACGATTGTGCTGGAATCTTAAGTTTCTGCATGAGTGATTGGTTGACATAACCTGTTCCCAGAATTAGGAGGCTAGGAAATGACTTAAAGTTTTGGGACCCATAAACTGCAATAGAGGTTTGAAAAAAGAACTTTTAAAAAAGTATTAGTTCTGAAAAAGAGACTAGAGGCCACTATGGCTCAGTTATAGCACAAGATTTAAAAAGAACCTGTATCCAACTTGCATTTTAGAAAGTTTCTGAGGCCTTGCAGTGGGGCTGGCTCCCACCTTGCATCGGGGAAGGCAGACGGAGGTCCCTCTGGGTGCTTCCATGGTAGTCCTTAGCACCAGGCATCTCTCAGCTGGGGGACTCCTCTGTAGGCTTCCCTGCCCTGGCTCTGATACAAACCAGCAGGCTGACATCAGCTCTTTACAAGTTTGCTTTGTGTTTTGAGACAGGACTTTGAAAAGTTCCATATTAGTAATGCACTTTTTCAAAACTGGCATATTATCTTTTGCAAGAGCTAAACTTGGGGACCTCTAATTTTGAGACTACGGGGTATGACATTGACAGCTTTTACTTTGAGCAGGAAAAAAACTACCTCATAGTTCAAGAACCAGGAGAAGAAAGCTTCGAATTTTTAATCTTTCTATGACAATAAAATACTTGGTATTATTTTTTAGGATGTACTATACGTGTACCCCAGGACTTGTGCCGTATCAGGTCTTTTAATGAATAATTATCTAGATAATTGCTATGACACCTCTCACTTTCATTGCTAAGCAGTGCACAGTGTCATGAACCAACACCACACATTTGTTTTCATTTCAGGAGAAACAATGGGCAAATCATGCGATTGCTCCGAAGACATTAAAGTGTTAGCATTAAGTGTTAAATTTTGATCATGATGTGTACTCAGGAACAAAAAAGAACTTTTCATGAGAAAGTTGCTTTATAGTTTCACCAAAGATAGTTATTTAGGATAAAGCTGTCCCGGGCCCTGGCAAGGGATTGGTCACAGTGAAATACAATGGTACCCAGCAAGGGTTACCAGTTTGTCCATACGAAAAAATCAAGTAGATTGTTGAGTGACTACTTTTAGACTTTAACCAGAGCACTACCCTTTGGGTGTGTTTTCTTCTCCCTCTTTTTCTCTCTGTCTCTTTCTCTCTGCCTCCCCCTTCTCTCTCTCTCTCTTCCACTCTGTGCCTCTTTCTCTGTCTCTCTCTATTCCCTGATTTATACTCATATTACATAGTATCATTTTATTGACTTCTAATAACACACAGGTACACACATCCGGGTAATTTTCTCAGCTCATTTTTTCTGGAACATCTATTTGGCTGGAAAGAAACTAGCACAGCAGTTAGAAGAAGTTGAAACCAAGTTCGTAGAGATTTCCTAGAAACATCCTTTTTATCAAAAAAAGTTGCTGTCCTCCAGTGGGTGACCCTCAGAATCTCCTATCATGATCCTTTTTTCCAATTAAATCCAAGTTTTTCAGACACTGGGCAGTGTTAGTTTAAAGAGGGTTGACTGGAAGTTTATCCTGTTTCTAACTCCTTCCTGTAATTTACTAATCAGGGACTGAGGGTTTTGATGACTTTATCTTCAAATTCCTTACCATGCCCTGTTAATTTGGAAATGCAGATTGGTATGAGAAAGAATTATGAAATGGAGTAAAGAGTGCAGATATTATTTCTTTACTTATGGTGTTAGTTCAAAATCACAAATGATACAGACATACTGACATAATAGCATAATAGTAGGGAAAACTTGCAGGCCTGGCTCCTGTCAGTCTTGGTTACAGGTAGAGCTTCACCAGAGTACTTGCTGGACAAAGTAGGCACACAACACAGTTCTGATGCTTTAGAGCCTGGCACCTCCTGTGGAGTTGCAGTTGTTTTGGGCATCTGCTCCCCAGCCCCCAGGAAGTGCTCACCCCACACCTTCTGCGTTAATTTTTAACATGAAGTTGTTTAGCTCTCTAATCACTTTTGCAAAGCAAGACAAGAGCCTAAAAAAAGAGATTTTAGGACCTTACCTCTTTTTAAAGAAAAAATAATGCATTACAAAGCAGTCCACAAAGGCAGAAATACATTTTAAGTGCTGCTGGGTGTTCTGGGAAATAAAATTTCTCTGCAGCATCGTAATCTTCGTGGATTTTGATAAAGGAAATGAGTGGGTGTCTCAGAGAAACTTTGGGCTTTGCATCGCTTTTCACTCTAATTCTCAAGCAGGAGAAAAAGGGTTACGTTTTCTGTTGTGTATGCTGCCATAAATTGACCTGGTATCTTCCAAAATTCATGTATTTAAATCATCTTGCTGTGCCAAATGTATCTTGGAAGAATATCACTGCGCAATTATATAGTTTAACACAGCACACAAAGTACAGTCAGCTAGGAAATAAAAATATGTTCTAAAGGCTTCAGAATTTGTTCTTTGCAGAGCTTTCAATAAAAACAAAAACAATCTGTATTTTTTTTTAACTTCCTGAAGTCTGTCCTGTGAGATGAAAATGTAAGTGGGGAATCTGAGAAACATCATAGTGAACATCAGTTTAGTGAAGGGATTTAATTCTTGTTGAATGACTGTAGAATTTAAGAAAGTTCATGAGGGGAGTTATAAAAACCATAATTATTGTGGACAAGTTTTCTGTAGCTTATTTCTTCATTCAAATGGCTAAAACATATCTCCATCCACATGACGTTTTAAAATCTATGTATTGGCATCATGCTAATTTTAATAAAATACCACCCAGAGCAGGAGAGCCTGAGTTCCCTTACATTTTGACAGTTTTTTTTTCCTTTTAGCAATCTTACACCTCCCTTTCCAAAAGAGAGAACTATGATGACAATCGGAAGCAGTTCTCCCAACGATGTTATTAGAATCACAGTGTTTAGCTTTATGGAATTTAATATGAATGTTAAAAATGTTTGAAGACCTTGAAATTTAAATCTGCTGCTTCTCAGCCTCCCAGCAGCAGCTCAACTCTAAAACTCCCTGGGGAGGAGGAGGGGGAGCGGGAAGGGGAGGGGGTGGGGGAGGCTCTGGCTTTTCTTTCAGCTACATTTTTATATACTCGGTCACAGGGTTTCACGTTGTAACATCATGTTTATTCATGGAATAGCTTAGTATCATTGATGTTCAGATGGAATCTAGTTAAAACGAGATTAAGTATTTTGGATAGGTGGAAAGAAAGGAAAATGCTTTGTGATAACTGGAGAGTTTGTTTGCCCCTCCTAGAAATTGAGAAAGAAAAACAAATGTTGTTGTACTCTCAGGTATATGAAAGACTTTCAGTGTTAAAAAGAGAACTTTCCAACTTTTTCAGAGGGGCTGGGGCAGGGTGGGGGAGGGGCCCTGGTGGTGGCAGGGAAAGCTATTTTGAAAATGTTAAATGAAACCAAAAGCGCAGTTTTAAAAATGAGAACTTCCAAAGTCCTTATTTTTTAGGCTCTCTACATGGTCTCAGAAAACAAATTGCAGGACTCTTCTGATTTTATTTTCCTGCAATCTTCTCCCCCCACCCATCTTCTTACTATGGGAACTGTTTTTAATTAAAAATTGCTGCAAACTATTTGTAAGAGGCCAAAAAGAAAAAAGAAATCTTTCAACTTCCATTCAGCCCAGATTCTTATCAGCTGAAAATCAATGCACATTTAAATTTCTCCCTTTTTGGTGTGTAAATTATGATATAGGATTTAAACGCTACACAGTTTTAAAGCATTTAGCTTTTTGTTTGCATTTCAGAAAGAAATTAATTTAAATTGTGTGGAGAACAGGGCTATAAATCTCCTTTTATTGCAATTGTCCACATTAACTCAGTTTTCATGAGGAAAACAGTGCACCCCTTTTCTGAAAAAGTGAACCAAACCTACAACAATGCAAACACCCAACTTTGCAAACGGTCAAGAAACAGATTCATGAATTTA